GCGGAGCGGGGCGGGCGAAGGGAAAGAAGAAGCCCAAGGCCGTCCCGCCGCCCACATCTGGCCCGCCAAGTTCAAACTGGCGCAGCGGCGTCCCGGACGTGCTCTCCCAGCAGGCCCTGCGAGCGCCGCGCTGGGCCAATCGGGGCCTGGGTGCGGTCCCCGTTGCCATGACGACGCGTGAGGCCCGGAGGGTCTTGTTCCGGCTTGCCCAGCGTGGCTTCCTCCGCCGGGCCTGGGCGCCCGGCTTCCGTGGCTGCCCGACCGCTTCCCTGTGGAGGGAGCGCTTCGCCTGCCACGCTGAGGCCGCGCCTGGTTGTGCGTTGCTGGCTGTGAGGTCGAGAATAGCGAGAGTGCCTTTAGTACATAAATTGCGCTCACCAAGAAATGTTGTTCTTTAAAGAAGAGGCCCAAGTCAAATGTACCTGCGCCTTCTTACAAAGAACAGACCTGTATCTATTCGGCGTGCTTTTACTCAGCACGTATTTTCAGGGAGGGGCGAACGTTTGTGTGAATGCGCAAGTGCACCCTGGGGACTATTTATTCCTCTGCCATGCACCCTCTTACCCAGCCATGGGAGCCCCCTGGGCCGATCGACCCTGCCCTGTAGAGTCGGCCAACTCGATGGCAGGAAGGGGGTAAGAGTTGTCCATTTCATTAATATAGAGAACTGGTAAATAGCACACAGTGAAAGTTGATACTGTAAACAACGCAAAGTAAAACTTGTTACAGACCAAGGAATTATAGCAAAATATTTCGATAACATTTCAATCAACAAAATGGGATCGTTAACCAAGGACCCAACAAAGCCCGCTGTCATGGAGTCCCGTGCACATGCAAATTCAATAGCAAACGTGAAGTTGGAATTTTGAAATACATGACAAAAAGTATTAAAATTTAAGAAAGACCAAAAAAGGGGAAATTGGGAGGCTGGCGAGAATTGGAGCAATATAGCTGTTATGAGAAAATTGATGAAAGAATGAAACTAGCTTAACGGAGTAGGGGGAGCCCTGGAGGGTAATGGGTTACAGGCCAGCGGTTTAAACCTACCAGCCTCTCAGTGGGAGAAAGCTGAGGTGGCCTGCCTCCTTAAGATCTAGTCTCCGAAGCCCTTCTATTGTGCCCTATAGAATCACGAAGAGTTGGAATTTTTCAAAATTGGCATGCGGTTAAGTGCCATCGAGTCACTTCTGACTTAGCGACAAGAAGAAGCGCCACTTGGTCCCTCACCATCCTCACAATTATATTCAAGCCCATTGTTGCACCCACTGTGTCCAACCGTCTGGTTGAGGGGCTTTCTTTTTTTCGATGCCCCCTCTACTTTATTGGCATATTTCTGCTTAAGTTATTTTATTAGAACATTTCTAAAACCAAAACAACAGCATCAAAAGTCCGTGAGCCCTTTAAGGACTTCATTTAAAAAATAAATAAAAGTAGCCTATTTATTGAGAAAACCTATATAACTGTAGTGGGAAAAATAGGTTTTATCATTAAAAAGACATTGACTTGAGTCGATGTTTTCCCTCTTGATATTCCAAGTCATTTTACACTATTTTGTGAAAATAGGGAAATAACCAGCCTCATAGTCAATCTATTTGATTGCTCATCAAAGCTTCTAGTACAGGGGTTAGCAAATAACTGGGAAATTATGTTAAGCCCCCAAATGTTTCTGATTTAACGTTTTGGTAGGGGACTTTGAAATGGGGTTACTTCCCTCTTTTAAAGTTTCCTTGATCCGTTATGATCAACTATCACAATGTGCTATAGCAACAAGAGCTGAATGGTGCTGGTGCTTGAAACTAAAGGAGTCCTGTGGTCTCCTTTATTACAGTGCCTTTTTATTCCTGGGACTGAGAAGCCCCAGACACGTTTAGGATTAATATATAAATCTGTAAGTAAGCTGAAAAGAAAAAGCACTTAGTGCAGCTGAAAGGTCTTCAGCTCAAACCCACCCGCCACTCTTAAGGGGCAAAAGTGTGGCAATCAGCTTCCAAAGATTCCAGCCTTAGAAATCCAATGGGCCACCTCTGCTCTGTACTATAGGGTCTGTATGAGTCCGAAGTGATGTACCCACAGGTTTGGTTTGGGTTTAAGCCTCTCTTGAAGCTTTTAATAACAACTCTTTACTATTCATTTATTTTCACTTTCACAGTATTTGAGATCATTGATATTTCTTGCTGGCTCTCTAACCTTTGTGACTTGCAAAAAAAAAAAAAAGATTGACTTGCCTAAAAACTTGTATTTAAAAATTAAAAATAACCTTGTATCTATAAACTGCCGATTTTGTTGCAAAAATAACACCATTAACTGTCAGCCTGTGGCAATGTATTATGCAAATTCTAAAAAATTCTCTCAGAACATATTGAAGTATTTACAGATAAAATGTCTTAGATTTGCTTCAAAATAATTCAGCGGGCATTGGAGGGTGTTACTGAGTAGAATAAAGATGGAAGAGACTGATATGCCAAAAGTCCATATATTATGTCCAAATTAGGTGATGGGTGGGGCATGGTGCTAGGGAAAATTCAAAATATATACTCAAGCTAAAACAAAACAAAACCATCTCCAGATTAAGAGGATTTAGGTTCTGGCTTGGGTTCTAATTTGCTGAGGGACTCAACTCACATTTCATCAAGCTCTCCATTTGCTCGGTCTTTAAATGGGGGCCTGGAGATCATGAACACTGAGGTGTTTGTGGGCAACCAAATACAGTTGCTATAATGCAAGGCTTTTTTAACCATTGGCTTTTTAAATAAAGATCTAATTGGTGGTCTAATCCACTGCCGTTGAATTGATTCCCTATCGAGGGCATTTCAGATTGCAAATCTGCACAGGAACAGACCGCTTCATCTGGTGGGCTTGACTCTGGTTAGAGCCCAACGCCTACCCCACAGGCCACAGGACTCCTTTTCCACAGGAATGCTCAGAGTCCTACATTTCAGCAAAACAGTCTTAAATACGATATGGAAGTGAGGATAATGTTTTTCTAAATGGTTACTTCTAAAGCAACTTTTTAAAAATGACTTCTAATGCGTTTCACTTTATAAAAGATGTAATTATATTTTTATTTCCTTATGGTAACACGTATTTATTAATCTACCTAGCTGTAAACAGATTACATCCTAGAACAGTGGTTCTTCAACCTTCCTAATGCTGCGACCCTTTAAGACAGTTCCTCATGTTGTAGTGACCCTTCAACCATAAAATTACTTTTGTTGCTACAGCATAACTATAATTTTGCTAGTTATGAATGGTAATGTAAGTATCTGATATGCAGGATGTATTTTCATTGTTACAAATTGAACATAATTAAAGCATAGTGATGAATCACAAAAACAATATGTAATTATAAACTGTGAAATATTTATTTCTAATGACAAATAAATGAAATTTTGTCTTGAAGCATGGAGTAGCATGGGTAACAGTCTTCACGCCAGGGACTCGTAGGTGGGCATATCTGCAGGTGGGCTGACCTGCCTGGAGACTATAGAGGAGCGGTGTCTCGGTTCCTAAGATCATCAGAAAATATCTGTTTTCCAATAATCTTTGGTGACCCCTGTTAAAGGGTCATCCAACCCCCAAAAGGGGTCACGACCCACAGATTGTGAACTGCAGTTCTAGAAACTTTAGTAATTTCAAACACTGAGCATATTTCATATAATATTTAGAGTAGTTTACACCAAGTATTTCAAATACCGGCTATTTATTTTTGAAGTGAATGAAACAAATGTTCTTAGGAACATGAAATTTTGAGAGGAAAAAAACACACCAACTTTTCACTAAGATAATCTTACCAAGTTATGGTTTAATATTTATCAGATGTGTAAATATACAAACATGATTGCAATTTTTAAAACTTGTGAAGTTGGACTTACAAAATTACAACACACTGTAAATAAATCCCTCCCATATTTTGTACAAACTACATGATTTTGATATACAAAGGTTCTGTTTTTATTACATTGACAATGTACAACCAAGACTATTTACAATGCAAAAAAAGTATATAAACCACAATTTAACATTCAGCTACTGGCAGCCACTATAGTTTAGGAGGTAGCTTTAATTAAACGAAATGAACAGAAGCCACATTTCCCAACTTGTGTTCTAAAAATAATTTATATAAGATAAAACTTCATCATATGCACATTATATACAGTTTAATTATTAAACTGCAACCTAGCTTAACATTTTTTAGCATAACCAGAACAACTAAAATGACAGTGGGTTTGCTACTAATTTAGCATATTATTCAAAGAACACATTATAAATTTGTACCTTTTTTTTAACATTTGTAACTTTAAGACTCAATAGTGACATGCCAAAATCCCGTACATGAGAATCAAGTAAAAGAAAATTTAAACATAGGACTGAGCTTCATTCCTATTTTTTGTTGTTTTGCATTTCATGATATGCCATATATACTCGAGTAGAAGCCGAGTTTTTTTAACACATTTTTAATGCAGTTTTTGTGGTAAAATTAGGTGCCTTGGTGGATATTCGGGTCGGCTTTTACTCGAGTACATCTGGTATTTGTCTATTCTCACCAAAGCTCAGCACTTGAGCTGTTGGGTAGGCTCTTTTGTAATCATAGTAAGGTAAAAAGTATGAACACTACCATGTCATAGCACAGTACATGAAAATCCAGCTAAGAAATAAAGACAAGTGCTTTCTTAATTACTGTCAATTTCTTCCAATTATATGCAATTATTCACTACAGTCTACTTTATAAATCAAGCTATAGATAACACCAACAAAATTGGAAAATTCTGTCGAGCCTATGATATTTCTAAACAAAATCTAAACCCACTGCCTTTGAATCAATTCTGACTTAGAGCAACCCTATAAGCCAAAATAGAGCTGCCAGAAAGGTGTTCGAAGCCCGTAAAACCTTTAAAAAAGCAGACTGCTACACCCTTCCTCCCCTCTCCCCCCATTCCCCCAGGGCAGCTGGTTGGTTCTAATCATCAATCTTTCTGTTACCAGTGAGCACTGTTTTTTAGTGGGAACATTACAAGGAGTCAGCTTCAGATACTATTAAGAACCCCATACTAGTTAGCAAGTTAGCCAAATCTGTATAACCCACACAGTAATTAGCCCTTACTTTTTCCTAGTAGTATGATCACAAATATGGAAAAAAACACTGTTACTGCAGTGAAGCAATGTATAAAGACTGAAAACAATTGTTCAGATTTTTTTTTAACTAACAGCTGTTAATACTGTTTTTAAAACATCTACAGTTTTAGATTTATAAATCATCTAAGTAAAATTTATAATTCTATGATGTCTAAAGATGGAAATATAAAGCACAATAAAGTAATGCCTATGTATACTTTCACAGTTCTACTTGGGAGATAATCCCTTTTTGGCCCTGCAATAAGTTATCCTGAGATTAATATACTAGGAAATATTAATTAGAGATAATATACTAAAAAATGTTAAAATTAGCGAGACTTTTTCTTCGGCCATATAAAAATCACATTTCAGAATAAATTTTCAAAAATATTAACAGCTGTTCTTTGCTTTGTGCTTACTTCAGAAACAGGTTTAAATTTGTTTCTTATGCATCAGAGAAAGCTAACATTATTGCTAAACCAAAACCAAACCCCTTGCCATCAAGCCGAGTCTGACTCCTGGCAACCCCATCGGACAAAGTAGAACTGCCCCACAGGATTCAACGACTGAAAATATTTACGGAAGCCAGCTGCTGAGGAACAGATGGTGGATTCGAACCATTGACCTTTTCCTTAAAAGCTAAGTGCTTAGCCCCTGTGCCACTACCCGGGGTCCTTCAACATTACGTTGTTACTCTACCTAAAAAGCCCCTTTTCAAGTGAAAAACGTTACAAATAACCCACACATGGCTTGGGTGTTGCATTTACCACCATTTTATAATTTAGGCACCTGCTCTTCAAAAGCGTATGGTTTGAGAAATATACTACTACCTTCCCCTTCTTCTAAGTGACCCCAGGCAGTGATTATAGAAGTGCTTTGCAGACGACAGATCAGAAGAAGGTTCGTTCTATAAACACTGATTTTTGTTGGTGGGAGAAACAATTACAGGTTAATTCAGTCTTTAACTCTTGGTAGATTGTAGGCATAGCGCACCAAAGGGAATCCTCGACTCTGATAGAAACAGGCCCGTCCACAAGCCTGCACCTGATCAGAACTGTCCGAGACAAAGGAATCTTCCTCATCTGCATAATCAGAGTGGGCAGACTGCGTGCCACAGTCGGACCAATAGCCATCTGCTCTTTGACATGATGCCACGGCCAGTGCAGGACAGCTGTGGGATTTCATTAAGTGTTTGCAGGATATTGGCTTTGTCAGAAGAAATGATTCACAGCAGTCACACACAGCCAGGTTGCCCTGCAGGTGGGAGTACATGCCACAGTCGTAGTAGAAATCCTGTTCCACACAACCACCTTGGCTACTGATGGAAACTGACACCGATCCACTTTTCTTGGTAATACGTCGCTTCAGTAACTTCCAGTCTTCCTTGAACTTTGGGTTGAAGAAAACATACAGGACTGGATTCAGACAAGTAGGCAATGGGAAAAATATCAGTGTAACGGACTTCATTATTTCAGGGCTGATAGAGATTGCCGTGATCAATGGTGCAAATGAGAAAAATGCAACAGGGCAGAAAAAAATGCAATTGGTGAATATGAGCCAAGCAACATGCTTAATCATGCTAGACTGTGAGTTCTCTGACAGGTCTTCTTTCTCCAAGTTGCAGTACAGTTTAGTGTAGATAATGGCCATTAATAGAAATGCTAATGAGTTTAAAAGCACTAACGTTACAGTGAACCCCAAGGATGTTGTTTCCCCAGTGGGAAATGGCAAACACAGGGGTGATGCAGAGTACTCCCCTCTGTGGAAAATGGGGAAACAGCCTGCAACTGCTGCACCCAGGAAAGCAAAAAGAGCAGCTCCCCGGAACTGTTTGAGATGCTTGCTTTTCCCATTTTTCATTACTGATAGGCTTCTTTCAATGGCCGCTAATGTTAACAAAAATATGGCACTTTCTGAGGAGAAAACTGCAAGGAACCCAGCAACTTTGCAGCCACTTCCAGTCTCCCACCAAATGCCAAAGTCAGCAAATCTGCCCCAAGACGCAGCGTCCAGGAAAGTCAAGGTGCCTGTGTAGACTCCCATGAGTAAGTTAGACACAGAGATCAGGCCTATGAACAATTTGGAGGAAGGCAGTGATGTACAAGATGCAAATGTTGTCACGATGACAAGCAGGTTGAAAATCAATGCAACTAGGAAAATGAACCACACAGTAAGACGAATCATCCAGCTTCCCAGTAAATATTCACAGGGCTTAAAAGCACCTACAATGAGAAAGAGATAAAAACAACAATTTGAAAAACATATTTCTCAATGCTGACTACAGAGACTAATGGTACATAAATCAAGAGTAAATTGTCTACCATATCAAATTGAACCAAATTGAAAGAGATCACTACTGAGATCCTGTAGTCCATGGACTAGGCTATTTTAAAAATAACTAACTCATTTCTCATATTAAATCTTTGGTGAGGCCATACAAGGATTTTTTCCTATTTTACATGTGTGGCACATAGAAGATACTTGATATACTGCAGCCATAGCTTTTGGAATCAGAGAAACTAGGGCTTTAAATAATGATTCATGATTTGCAACTCTACCCCATTCTGTTTTGCTGTGGAGGTTTATGAGTTGCTGTGTGCTAGAAGCGATGCTGCCGGTTGTTTCAAACACCAACACTTTCATCCAGGGTAGATAGGCTTCAGTGGAGCTTACACATGAAGATGGAGATCTACTCTTGAAAATCAGTTCATGACACTGGATCACAGTATGACGGACCACAATAGAAAACTTTGATATAGGGCTAGAAGATGAGCCTTCTAGGTTGGAAGGCACTGGAAATACATCGAGGTTTTAACCGTGGAGCAGAGAAAGGACTCATTCTGTGGTACAAGCGGACTTGATGACAACAATTTGCTAGTATGACTTTAACAAAGCAACTTATCTGTGAGTATTTTTTCATTGGTCAGTGATAATGTTTTTCATTGAGCTATGCCATTTAAAATTGCATCACTAATTACCTGCTTAAGTACCTAACTAGGTTATAGGCACATAGTTGGACTTCTGGAAATAATAGCTTTCTTTTTCTTCTTTCCCAACCCCAAAATATATAGTAATTATCTATGTATATGTGTATATACACATTTCCATGTTTCAAAGGCAATCTGATAAAGCAGGTTAAGACACATATATTTGCCCCCAATGTTCATCCATAGAAACAGACTTCAATGTGTCTGATTAAACTGACCAAGGATATCCAGTAAGACCAGGAATTTAGTACAAACACAGTAACAACTATTCAAACAAATCTACAGCTAATAAAAATCTGTCTGATCTAACCTAAGATTCCAAGAGCTAGTTTAATACACCTGAATTGCAGATTCCAATAACTGGCCTTGACATGTTAGTCATTCACTAATGACAAGTGTTTTATTTTTCTTTTTTTTTTTCTTTTAAAAAAATCATTTTATTTGGGGCTCATACAACTGTT